AGGGTAAGTGTGGGTGCCAGTCGCGGCCCGATTTGGATCGTGACAGCAGGCAAGGTTATTCAGGGTAGTTCATATCTAGGATTCGAATCTGCGACTCTGATTAAGGGTGAAACACTCCTATACTAGTGCACCACAACTCATGTTGGTAAGAGTTTTATTAGTTATACATAGTTAAAAGGAGTTTTAATTTTGATATTTTAGATCACATTTGACCATGGAAATTATTCATTTTTTTCTTTTTTTTTCATTTTATTTAGAATTATTATTAAATCATAAAATTCTGTTTACACGTTTACCATATCACCTTTATTTTGAGAGTTTGTCCCAATTATTACTGTTATAAAAATAAAAAAAACATTTATTTCAGCCACCAACCATATAGTAAATACCTTTATTAATAAAAAAAAACAGCTCACTGGTCCAAATTTGATTTATTTATTTTTTTAAAAAGCATATAGTAAATACCCAACTACCATAGCTGCAAATTTATTATCTTTTTCACTAAAATTGGATAACTTTTTTTTATGTTTTTGTTAGTTATGTCTAACTTTTATCTGATTCAAACTTTTTAAATTCAGCATTGCTAATAAATATGAGTACGTGACATTACTTTTCTAGAACAATTTTGATTTTATATTTTGAAACAATTGAGTATTAATTAGGAGCACGTTTGCTATTGTCGTTGAAAGATTAAAAATATTTATCGTCAATAAAATATATTTATTTTTTAAAAATAAGTTGTCTGACTAATATATAAAATTGCTTGTAAGTAGAAGCAAAAGTATTTTTTACGTTGTTATAGTTTCTTACAAAAAATTAAATGCGCAAAAGTAAGAAATTATTTATTGTAAAATTAAATTATATCTGTTATATATATTTATCGTGTACGCTATAAAAGCGAGCTTCGTACCCATAGCTATGCACCCAATTTAAATAGTATGGTGCTACCGTTGCCGCACTCTATACAAACTATATAATAGCCTTTTCGATATGAAAATTAATATCATTCTCTCAATTTTAGCCAAATATTTATAATCAAGAACTTATACAAGCTTCATATTTACTCATGGTATTTTTTCTAAACTTTTATGTAATATAAAAGCATCTCATTTTCCACTATTTCATAGTTGTGCTTCTTTTTGTTTATTATTACGAGGAAAGTTATAAATTATCACTTTTTGTCTCTATTTATTTGTTTATTTATTATTTGACATATCTGTTAAGAAAATAATAATTGATATAGTGAGTTTATCATTTTGTTCTTGTTAATTGATAGAATTCCAAAATCATACTCATTATTAAAGAGATTCTATTTTTTTTCTCGACACATCAACCCTTTAAATGAATTAAGGGTATAATAAGTGAAAGATATTGTTTTTCATAAATAACAGGTAAAAAATCAAAATTAAACAAGTAAAAAGAGACATAAGACTAGTATTTTGAATTGGAGGTGGTTGGTGTTTGGTAGAAATAAGTTATGTATAGGTATGAATGGTGGATTTACCTTCTATCTTCATGTTACCTGCGTTTCTATTTATTTGTTTGATTTTAATTTGATATAAAGTTTAAGGAAGTAATGACAACTTTTTGAACTTTGTGATTTGATATAACATATAATCAATGAGTTCATTCGATCTCAATAGCTTCAGAGTGAAATAGATAAAAGTTAATTTTGGACCTATAATTTTAACAATTATTCAGTGATAAGAAACTTAAATATCAAATCGATCAAATTTATACGTTTTGTACTAGTGCACTCATTATCTCAAAATCTTAAATATGCCTCTGCGTTTATAGCCTTAAACTAAAGATACTTAAGATAGAAATAAGGAGATCCTACCATATTTGTTATGAAGAAAAGCTTATTGACTAATGTGTTTACTAACTAACCAGCTGGATCTCATAACTAACTTCATTAACAGACTAATTTAACCAACTGTCTAACTACTCTCAACACGTGGAATATACTATGGTGTCATTTGATCTTAAACATATCAGATAAAATTAAAAAATTATTAAAAAGAGATATTATATTATTTTTTAAATAGACTTTAGAATATTTTCCTTCGTACCGAATCCACCCGCCTTAGTTTCTTCTATTAGGAAAAAAAAAATACATAAAGTCAAAAGTATTTTGACTAATATTTGTGTTAATTGTGTGCAGACACTAATGGATGTTCTTGGTTACTATGTTATTCCCCTAATAATTCTATGCTTCACTTATTGGAACTTGAAAAACAAATGGGCCAAAAGTTCAAAGCCAACAAATTGGCCCATTTTTGGAATGTTGCCTGGATTGGTTCATAATGCTCATAGAATCCATTCATTTTTCACTGATATCCTGTTAGAAACTACTAGTAATTTTGAGTTTCGTGGCCCTATTTTCGCCAATATGGACATGTTATTCACTAGTGATCCTGCAAACATCCATCATATCCTGAGTCGAAACTTCTCAAACTATCCAAAAGGGCCCGAGTTTCGTGAAATATTCGATATATTAGGAAATGGAATCTTCAATGTTGATTCTGAACTATGGGAGATTCATAGGAAAACAACCATGTCCCTGATGAACCATTCCAAGTTCCAGACTTTGCTACAACGTAACGTCTGGGACACGATCGATAAAGGTATTGTTCCAACTCTTGATATTTTAGCAAAACAGGACACCCCTGTTGATTTGCAAGACATTTTTCAGAGATTTAGTTTCGATACTATTAGTAAATTGTTACTTGATCACGATCCCAAAAGTTTGTCTGTAAATCTACCTCATGTACCGTGTGAAAAGGCGTTCAACGACATGGTTGATGCACTTCTATATCGACATGTCTTGCCTGAAAGGTATTGGAAGTTGCAAAAATGGCTTCGAATTGGTAAAGAGAAGAATCTAATGAAAGCATGGGAGTCTTTCGATCAATTCATATATCCTGCTATATCGAAAAGGCAAGAGAAGTTGATCAACAACGAAATTAAAGACGATGATTTTGACCTATTCAGTGACTATGTCAAAGCATACAAAGAATGGACAAATGAAGATGATAAGAACTTGGGAAGTGTAGAAAAATTTCTAAGAGATACTTTCTTGAATTTGATGTTTGCTGGTAGAGACACTACAAGTTCAAATCTCACTTGGTTTTTTTGGCTCTTGTCTAAAAACCCCTTAGTTGTGAAAAAGATTCGCGAAGAGATTCAACAACAATTGCATCTAAAAGAAGACGAAAGCCTCAAGTTTTTCAACATACAAGAGTCGCGAAAATTGGTCTATCTACATGGTGCATTGTGTGAAGCTCTACGACTGTTCCCACCCGTTTCAATTGAGCATAAATCTCCCCTTCAACTTGACGTCCTACCAAGTGGTCATCGTGTGAGCCCAAACACGAAAATATTGATATCGTTTTATACAATGGGGAGAATGGAGAGTTTATGGGGAAAAGATTGTTTAGAGTTCAGGCCAGAGAGATGGATCACTGAACGCGGGGGGCTTAAACACGAGCCATCTTACAAATTTCCAGCGTTTCTCGCGGGGCCAAGGACTTGTGTTGGGAAGGAAATGGCATTCATTCAGATGAAAATGGTGGCAGCTACCATGATACACAACTACAATATTCAATTAGTGGAAGCACAAACAATTTCACCAACAGCTACTGTTGTGATTCGAATGACAAATGGTTTGATGGTTAAAGTAGGTAAAAAGGTTCCTATTTAGTTCAAATGAATGTTTTAGTTTCATTTCCTATTGTATGTTTAGATTTCAAAGTTCTCAATAAAATATGTCTTCTTAAACTTTAAATTAGAGATATTGTTTAAGTTGTGAAAATCGAGAAGTTTTTAGTACTAGTGTTGAACCCTTTAAATGAGTCTTAAATGTGATGAATCTGAATTTTGATTTGGGCAATAAAAAAGAGGCGTAATAAATTTAAGTGTTAGCTACACACCGTAGACACACTACGTTCTAAAATTAAACAATTAACACTTATGAAGCTTGAAATATTAGTTATGAAACTCTTTTTTTCTTGTTTTTTTAATTAAAAAAGTCATATTTGTCTTTTTTTTTAAGAATTTATTTTCCTAAAAATGATAGTTTTCAAAATATATTGACCAACGAAAAATTATGCGAAAAATAATTATTATTTTTTTTTGTAACAAATACATTCTTGATCTTAACGAATATAAGTAAATCTAACAAAAATAAACTGAAACGAAGAAATTAGCCTTGCCTTTTTAGTTCTAAATTCTAATATAAAAACACTAATTAATTATGTTGTCATTATGTCACGGACTTACATGTTCGAGTCGTGAAAATAACTTAAATGAGTAATATTATAATTCATATTTCAAAAGTATTTCTTTTTGTAAGTGAATACTTACATACTCCATGTATAGATCAAATAATATTATTATTTTTATAACATTATATTATACCATATCATGTACAGAACAGAAAAAAAAACAATCAATTTTGAAAATTTCTCAATTTGATGATCCCAATTAATGGAATATTCTTCCACTTTTTTATGATATAAGTTAAAAATTAGTGGACCACGCAAAAGAGAAATAACAAATTGAGTTAAAAATCAAAAGACACATGAAGCACGCCATTCAGAATATGTCAGCCAGAGGGAAACAAAATTTCGAATTTTACGTAAATTATTAGTTTTATTTTTAAATTATTAACAAACTTAATCAAGAGACGAAATTAGTTAGTCAAATATACGAATATTTTTAAAGTTGTCAATAATTAAAGAGACGAAACTAATAATATCTGATCGGGATAACTTATTGCGATTAATTATTAATTCTGACATATCTTTTATTCCGAAAAGGTCCTAAACTATAGAAATGAGAAGGTTCAAAACTAATTAAGTTAGTAAATAACATTACACAATACAAAAGGTTCAAAGCTAGAAAGGATAATTAAGAGAAAACAAAATAAATTTAATTTTGTTAGAAGCATAAAAAGCAGTGGCAAAATAGTCATTTCCTTTTCAGATTACAGCTTTACTCTAAAGCCCCAGCAAAATGTAGTAAACCAAAGTGATTGGAAGAGCTATTAACATACCAAATATAACCCTGCAAAATCACCAATACCAATATTACAAGGCAATCGATCGAAACCCGAAAAAAATATGAAGTTATTACTAAAGTGTATATGCTTCATGCAACGTCTATATATGTTGCTCGAACTCTTTCAAAAATGTTGCTAGTTGTGTTGGATTGTTCAGAAGTAGTTCATTTTTAGAGAGTTCGAGCAACAATATAGGGCATCGTGGTTGTCTTTTAGGACCAAAACGAAATGAAGAGTTTTAAGTTTTATGCAATGACAAGTGATAAACCAAATCAAAATCGGATAATGGCTTCACTATAGGTGAATAATACGTTGGAACTAGTCGAAATGCACGTAAGGTGTAAGAAATGTTGATAGTGATATATGAGTTTGTGAGAGTCCTTACCCTGTGCTAAGTATATCAGGATGAAGATTGTATTCTTTTGCAAAGACGAAAGGAACGATTCCTTGAGGTAGAGCTGCCTGAAATATACGAAACAATTACAACAACATACCTAGTGAAATTGCACAAATGGGGTATAGGGAGGGTAGAGGTGTACGTAGACCTTACCTCTACCCCTACCTCGTGGAGGTAGTTAGGTTGTTTCCGAAGGGTCCTCAGTTCAAATAATGCAGCAAATCGACGTAGTAATGAAAAGAAAAGACGACATTGAATATGCATATAGGAGAACCTTTACCTGAACTATTGCAATATGCAAAAGAACACCTCGAAGTCCAATAGCGAAGGAGGCAGCAGCCATGACTGCTGGACCGCTGATGAATCTCACTGCCATAGAGAAGGCAGCAATTGATTTTCCACAGGAGATCATTTTAGGCTGCAACGCCATGAACAAACCTAAAGTTTATGGAAACAAATGAGTTTCAACAACCATTAATTTTACCATAAGCATAGGCCAATCGTGAGTACTATTGTGAATGTTAGTAAGAATAAACGTCATACCAAGACTAAACATTGCCATTCCAAGACCAGCATCGGAGAGAATTGATATCGACTTAGCAAAAACTAAAGGCATCTGAATGTTCCACCTGAAACCATAGCAATTATCTAGTAATTGAGTTAAATAGGCCAGAATGGAATGCGGATGACTCATATAGCCGACTACAACTAGTTTGAGATTCAAACATAGTATTGAAATACGTTTATGTCAAGGAAACTTTAGTGTACAAACCGGAATGAGATCAAGGACCAAGCAAGACCAAGGAGACTAGAATAAGTATTCGGGTTCCTAATGAGTTTTCGCCACACCATAATCAGAATAAGTCTGGTCATCACACTAGCAGCAGGCATAGCAGTAGCCTTAGTTTCAGTAGCAGTCCTGGGAAACAGCTCGGCTGTAGAACTCGATCCTAGCTTCTTTAGCACCGGCTCTTCTCGATGACATCCATTGGAGTTATTTTTATCCCTGAGAGAAAACTCTTCTCGGCCAAAATCATCATAATCTAATGCACAAAAGAGTACAAAATCAATTATTAATTATAAATTGCACTTAATAACTTAAAATTCAAGACAACATAACCAAAACCAACAAAAATACAAAATAGTACTTAAATGACATGAGTTTTTAGACATGTAAATAATTTAAGTGTGTGCCCAACCTTTTGAGTGATGTCCAATTCCAAGCTCATTACCAAAGTCACCTCCCCTGAACACATGAATCCCTCCTTCAGATACTGGTGAAGCACTTGAACTCCAAACAAACATATGAAGATCTTTTCCACTTTCTGTCCCATTAGCCTTCTTTTTTGTCCCCGGTCCGATTGCCGGAGAAAAAATCCCAGCATTAGTAGGTGCAGGGTACCCTACATTAGTCTTCCCAAATCCACTCTCTTCATCAAATCCCAAGTTACCAAAATTTGATGTCCTAGGACTCATATTTGCATTATTTTTCCCATTCACCATTGAGTATATATCATTATGGTTAAAATTTGAATCTCTAGGGGTCATATTTGTTGAAGATTGCAAAGAGTAAATCTCAGCATTAGACAAATTGGATGGTCGTGGTGTCATGGAAAGACCACCAGTGTTATGACCATGTGACATTCTTGAAAAAATTTCAGACCTTGAACTAGCTGATTTCCTAACAACTACATGAAGTTTCCCATCATCACCAACTTCAGCTTGAGTTTCTAATGGTTCTTTTCCATCTAATGAAATAACATCAGAATCAATTTTAAATGAAACAATTGATCCTCCAGTATCAGGAAACTGTTCAGCAATAAGCATTCTAGCACCTCTATACTCAAACAAGAAAAGCATCAAAGTGTACCAAATGATACATTGAAGAACAACAATTTGAACCATTAAACTACCTGAGGCATCACCATACATCCCTTTTAACAAAGGGATTCCCATAACTAAAGTATTAGGCAAAGTTGAAAGGGAAAACAAAGTAATGGACCATTCAAGAGACCCCCTTGAGCTAATTCTTGACCAAATAGCTAAAACAACCAGAACAATAACTTTTTGTAATGTGTCAGCTGCTATGAACCTGTAGTTCATGGCATAAGGATTGTTTGAAGCAATGAAGTGAAAAGATAACAATGGAACTGCAAAAAGAGCCACAAATCTATTGATTCCTGAACATTGATCTGGACTAAATATCTTCCACCATTTTACTGAGCCATATGCCAATATCATAGCTACATAAAGTGGAACTACAGCAGTTAGAACATGATAAAGGTCTGAAACTGTTATCATCTTCTTCTTTTTCTCTAGAATATCAGAATATGACTTTAGGAAGCACAAAAATCAAATGGGGTTCACAAAAACACAATAAAGATTCAAACTTTCCTTCATGAAACACTCTTCTTCTTTTTTCCAAGATTAGCTTAAAAACAGAACAAACCCCAATCTTTGTGTACCTAAATAATGGAAAAAACACAAAAAAGATTCAAACTTTACTACATGAAACTCATTTTCTTCATTCAAAGAACTTATTAATGAACCCCAGAAACAGAAACAACTTGTGTTTTTTTCTCTTTCTGCTTTAACTCTCAACTAGGCAAGTGAGACAAAGTAATAACTCAATGAGCTAAAAATAGTTCTTTTTTTTTTTCTTCAAAAGAATGAAATAGTATATAGTAGTTATTAAACAAGTGTTATTTAAGAGGAAAATTTGTATAGAAAAAAAAAAAAAAGGAGAGTAGAAGGACGAGGTTTTTGTGGGAATTTATGTGATAGTGATTTGTTTGTTTATGGGAATTCAATGGCAGACAAAGATATAAAAGCTGAGGGCTTTCGGGAAGCTTTCTTTTTAGTCTTTTTATTATGATACAAACACTCGTAAACGTATTGAAATGATAAATACTTCTTCATGATTCGTTATGATAATTTTAAATTTGAATTTTATGAGTATGGAACTATCTTTATCAAGAGATTATTTTTTATCTCATGCAAGGTTTTTTCATGTAAATTCAAGTTTAATATAATTATTGAATAGTAGATGAAAAATTAAAAAGATTCATTTATATTTTTGATATTTGATAATCATATTAAATTTAAATTATGTTATATTGAGGTGTAATATCATTTATTTTGAACTAAGCTTGTGTGATTTTGTTTTACTAAACGTCTTGTATCATTAAAATTTTTATACTTCTTACATAAATTTTTATTATTAATTATTAATATGAGATTTTATTCATACATTAACTTTAAACAAAGAAGCAATAATATTGCAAGGAGTGGGCACAATAGTCAAAATGGATATGACATATTAGGATTCAATTGTCAAGCTAAGATTTAGTAGGCATAATCTTTTATTAACTAGTGATTATAGAAGATAATATCATGTTTATATCCAATTTGGGGTATATTTGCAGTAAGATGAGTAGACATATTTTTATTGAAAACTTAAAATTATGTATAGAATATAAATAATATTTTCTTATAAAAATATATTAAATTTTGAATATTCTATCGTAAGCCTCAAGTTTGATCCTCCGTTTTGTTAAAATAATGGTTTGTTTTCATAAAAGAATTTTCTTTTTCAAATACTAAATATTTTTAACGAATTTTTTAATTTCATCGTTGAATGTATAAATTCACGAAAATTCACTAATGTTTGCTCATATTCTTTATGTGTGATAAACTTTTTTTTAATAAAAATTCATAAAAACTTTTAATCTATTTTTCCGTATTGAATTAGTAAAAATGCAAGCAACGTAATCTAAACATTCTTACTAAAAAGAAAAAAAGCATATATACTGATTTATATATTTTAAATAAATGAATCTATCGAAAATAATTTTTCTTTAACTTAAGAAAAAAAGTAAAGTATATGTATATTATTATTTTTTCAGACTTTACTTGTAAGATTATGTTGGATCGATATACTATTAGTGTTATAGATATATTAAAAAATGGAAAACATGAATAGAAAGTGGGAATAATAGTAGTTATAAAGGTAGGCAAAAATATCAATTTTGATTCTCCATGAGAGTGAAAAGACCAAACAGCATCTCAGAGAAAAGGAAAGAAGAGAAACTGCAATTCAGAGAACTTTATGATAAAATATTATTATTATTGTTATTATTATTAACCTTTTAAAAGATTCGAACAAACTACTTTTTTTTTTCTCATAAATTATTTTAAAATATTCTACATGACTCATTTCTTTACAAATATAGTCAGTGTCTACTACCTTTCTCACTGTCAAAAGTGACACTCATCTTCTCTCTCTCTTTTTTTTTTTTAATGATATTCGATATTTATATTAAATTATAATTATAGTTAGTAATTTAAAAATGTATGTAAATGAATTATAAATATATAATGTGTATCATATATTTATTGGTTTGATAATATTGAATATGAATAAGTTTTTTATCATTGATAAACTTGGTGAATTTTAATATGTTTAAGTATTATTTTTGGGGTTTATTTATTAATGATTATCATGAAAATACAACTTATAATTACTTGATAATTGATTTGTGTAAAAATTGTAAGTACAATAATTAACTTAAAATATACTTTAAAGGCAGCTAAAAAGCTGTTTTCCACAAAGTTACTTTTGCCAGGCTAGTGCTTAAAGGTTGCTGGAAATGGATGGAATTAGATTAGTGTTTTGGCTTCACTACAAGAATCAAATAAAGTGTCATAGGTGTTTGGTCATGCGATATCATTTTAAAATTATGAGATAAAATTAGCGTGTGAATTATGTAATTTTATACTGATTTCATATCATAAGATGTGATTTCATATTCTCTAAAGCTCATGATATGAGAATTTCATATCATCATGCTTTGAGATATTTTCAATACAAAATCGTTTTTCTAACTTTTTTACAATACGAAAAAGATTAAATTTCCTATGCTATATTTGTAAAATCAAAATAATGTCGACATATCTGTAATCCCATAAGAAGAGATACTGCATAAATCAAACTGTGTAGAATGAAATAATAACTTATTTTGTAATAATAACTATATTTTAATTTATAAAACATCAACAAACTCGAATAATTAGACATTGTACACATACACAATTGGTGAGAATTAAAATTAGACGGTTTGAATAAATTTATACATCTAACTAAAATCTATAAGCACGTATCGAAATAAGTACAAGGGTCTTTCATGTCATTCATTCGAAAAGATATACAACACTCAAAATGAGAGGGATAATATTGTCATTTTACTTTCATACTAATTACTCAGTATTCAGTACTCACAATTTCTATAGCGACAAAAGAGAAAAATATAATTAAAAAATTAATGGAGAACCATGCTGAAGTAAGACGCCAGCTGGAGCCATGGGGAGAACTCGCCGGAAAAGTGGTGATGGTCACCGGAGCTTCATCGGGAATCGGTCGAGAAATTTGCGTCGATTTATCAAAAGCTGGTTGTAGAATCATCGCCGCCGCTCGCCGTATCGATCGATTGAATTCTCTATGCGATGAGATCAACGGAATCAGCTCGAACTCCTCGAACGAATCGACAATTTCAAGTCAGGAGATTCAAGCCGTAGCGATTGAGCTCGACGTTAGCGCGAATGATGCTGCCATTGAAGCCGCCGTGCAGAAAGCTTGGAACGCCTTTGGACGTATCGATGTTTTGGTTAATAACGCTGGAATTCGAGGTGAGACTGATAAATTGTCAATTTTTTCTTATGATTGCACGTTATTCGAGGTGATTTTGATAATTTTTGGATTTGATTCTGTGTTGTTTTGATTTTCTGATGCATAAATGTTAAACAATGAATATGGCAATTGATGATTGAGTAGTCAATTATTCAAAAGTTCTATTTTGAAGTTGAACTGTTGATCAACATTAGAAAGATGTAAAAGTTCAATTTTTTGCACAAATTTTAGTTAAGTTAAAAGGCTATTTGTTGAAGGAATAGTTTGTGGAAGAAGAGGAGATGTGTGGATGTTCCAGTACCGTAGTGTGAGAAGTTGGCGATGGGTGGGTTGAAGAAGAGCTGGAGTTAGGTGGAAGAAGTATTGAGGAGAGTTGATTCGACAGGATATGCTGTCATTTAACTTACTGAAGACATGATATTAGATAGGAGAACGTGGAGGTTGTGAATTAGGATATAAAGTTAGGTAGTCGAACGTATGTGGAAAAGGAAAAGTGATATAGTTAGGTACTTATGTGATGTACCTAATATTCTAATGTGTGTATGAACTTCGTCCATGATTCTTATTTTTAGTTGCTATCACCTTAATTAATGAGTTAATGAATAGCTAGTTTGGGCAAATATCAGAAATCCATTTTAATACGACTAGTATAAATCTAAGAAATTCTTCCCCCAAGCTTGTCAATGGAAGGTGTTACTGTTTTTGATGACTTTCGAATGCTGCTTTTGGTGCACGTTTGCAGTTTTGAAATGCCCAGCTGACTTCCAGAAGAGATGTTCTTTATTTGGGTTCTTGTGGGTGGATGGGTGGGTGGGGGGCGGTTTGTGATGGTTCATAGTAGGGCAGGAGACAGGTAGGGCGAATCGGCAGAAAATGAAGTTGTTTAGGACTTCTATAGCATTATCCTTGCCCATGGAGGCTGGGGCTATCTCCTTCCTTACCTTTTAGTAATTGGTCGTGTGTCGACTAATCTGTCATTTGTTTCTTATAGGCAGTGTGCACTCTCCACTGAATTTGTCAGAGGAGGAATGGGAGAAGATCTACAATACGAACTTAAGAGGGGCATGGTTGGTGACCAAATATGTTTGTATACATATGCGTGCTGCTAACCAAGGAGGATCTGTTATTAATATCTCTTCTACCGCTGGTCTTAATCGTGGGAAATTACCAGGCAGTCTTGCTTATGCTTCTTCAAAGGAGGCTCTTAACAGCATTACAAAGGTAGTGTCTTGGTTTTTCTATACTATGTGATTGATCCTGTAGGAGTTAAAAATTTAAGCTAGCTTCACCAAAATTGCATGAAATTATATGAAGACAAGCATACATGATTTTATTAAGTTAATCAGTCTCTTCTGTCATCTTGAAGCATTCAAATTTCATTACATTATGTTGTGTTTCTGAAGTCGGTAGCTCCTTGAACAACAATGGAGAAAAGGAAGATAAATTCATATACAACCTTATAGAATCCATCTAAATATGTTGGAAACATGTGAATATACAAAATGGTCCAACATATTGAGGATATATATATTGTGCAGTAGTTCTAAGGAAGAGTGCCCAAGGATAGTTGCCACCCACGTTACATATATGATGGAATGCCTCACAAACTTCAGTC